ATATATGTAGAGCTGATATAGCTCTATAAAGTTACTGGTTAGATTTTTTTAAAACTTCTTAGATAAAAAGTTATAGCCATTTAAAAAATTGAAACACCTTAAAAATACTTTGTGTAACCGTCGAGTATAGACTTCCAGCACCATACCATGATCAAATGTTATCAATAAAAATGATTTACAGTAACACTAGATGTGCATAACCAATTTTCTACTGATATCAAAAAAAAAAAAAAAAAAAAAAAGAAATGGGTAAAAAAGACAAAAAAACCGCCAAAGGTTTGTAAAAATTCGTAATTAAAAAGAAAAAAACTTATAAGTCTAAATTGTCAACTTTATCTGAATAGGGCGTTTGGACAAGTATTACTACCTGGCCAGAGAACAAGGATATCGTGCCCGTTCTGCTTTTAAGCTTATTCAATTAAACAAAAAATACAGTTTTTTAGAAAAGTCTCGATGCCTAATAGACTTATGTGCCGCACCCGGAGGATGGTGAGTCCATATGATTGTGTTGGGCGGATTATAAAATGATACCTCCTTGCTAAATTTCTAATCTTACTAAAGGTTACAAGTAGCTAAAAAATATATGCCCGTATCAAGTTTAATCATTGGTTTGGAAATTTCTTAATTGAATTGTGTCTAAAAGTTCTGTTGATTTTGCTTGAACTTTATAAAATTTTTTAAATTTGGTTAAAGGTGTTGATATCGTGCCAATTAAGCCAATTTCAAATATTATAACTTTCCAAGAAGACATTACTACTGATAAATGCCGATCAGTCATTAGAAATGAGCTAAAAACTTGGAAAGCTGATGTGTAAGTAATCATTTGTTATACCTAATTTTAATGTCATAATAATTGATTTTTTTTTTTATTATTTCCAAGAGTGCTTCATGATGGTGCTCCAAATGTGGGTGTTGCTTGGCTACAAGATGCATTCGCACAATCTGAATTGACGTTAAAAGCATTGAAATTAGCTGTAGAATTCTTAAACAAAGGAGGTTCTTATCTGTTTACATTAACATTGTAAAATGCTTTAATATGTTTCTTTAGTAATATGACTTTGTATGTGCTTATTTTTGCTCGATTATTTAGGCACATTTGTGACTAAACTTTTCAGATCTAAAGATTATAATAATTTGATGTGGGTTTTTAATCAATTATTTAAAAAAGTAGAAGCTACAAAACCTGCTTCATCAAGGTACGTCGTTTTACGTTATATTGATATTTGGGATCTTTGCTATTAAAATGACCTTCCGAGACTATTAGATTTTATGAATAAAATTAAAATTACTAGCGATCCAGTAATCCAATTTGAATAAACCTTTTTTTTTTTTCATAAAGCCTAGCGAACTCTATGAAAAAAAAAAAAAAAGTTTATTTAAATTGGATTATTAAATCGCTAGTAAATTTTAATTTTATTCATAAAATCTAAATAGTCTCGGAAGGTCATTTTCATAGCAAAGATCCCATTTATTAATTATTTTCTAAGCTAGAGTTTAAATTTTCTGTCTTATAATATTAGAAATGTGTCAGCCGAGATTTATGTTGTTTGTCGAGATTTTCTTGCACCAAAGAAAATAGACCCCAAATTTCTTAATCCTCGAGCAGTTTTTCAGGATATAGATATTGGACCTGCAAATAAATCCGTTGACGTTTTACATCCAGGAAAAAGGAAACGATTCAGAGAAGGTTATGAAGATGGAAATTATACATTATATAAAGAAATTTCTGTTTTAGACTTTATTAATTCGGATGATCCAGTTAAAACTCTTGGTGATGTTAATAAATTAAAATTTGACACAGAGAAAGCAAGAGAGTAAGATTATATAAATTATATAAATTGTTTTTATTCATTATTTCATTTTTCTTGGAATTAAAAAATTTTTTTTTTCGTTTAGGCTATTGAACCATGAATTTACAACTGAAGAAATAAAATTATGTTGCGATGACTTAAAAGTTTTGGGCAAAAGAGAATTTAAAAATCTTTTGAAATGGCGCAATCATGTCAAAGAAGCAGTAAGTATCATTTTATTATCATTTTTATATCGTTCCGAGAATGACCTGTTTTTTTTTTTTTTAATTTAATTAGCAGGATTCAACAAACAACGAAAATTCGACTAAAAATGATGAAATAGTTGAGGAAAATGATGAAAAAGTTGATGAAGATCAAGTAATTCAAGACGAGGTCTTGTATCGAATAATTCATAATTTTTGCGTTTCTATTTATCGATTATTATACGATTATTAAATGTCAATAACTTTTAAATTTTTCCTCAATATAGCTTGATAAGCTTACTAATGAAAAACAAACCCGATCAAAACGACTTCGCAGAAAGGCCAATGAAAAGCGACAGAAAAGTGTTGTTCGAATGCAGCTAAAGATGATTTCTCCCCTTGATATCGCATTAGATAGTTCAGGACCTAATGGTGGTGACCCGTTGTTTGATTTAAAACAAGTTGATAAAACTGGGGTATTGTTTATTATATCTATTTATATTATTTATGTTGTTTATTAATCATTGTTTATAGTAATTTTTTTTTTATGGCCATATTAAAATTAATAATTGACAATATTTAGATTTTAAAAAAAATACGCAAAGGAGATATGAATATTGTCCTTGATCAAGATGCTGATGATGGTGACATTGTGATTGATGATCAAAAATTTCCAGAAGACCGAAATAAAGATTCGAAAAACCATGACGAGGATGCTCGGCTGGAAGAAGAATTAGATGAGCTGTAAAAAAAATGTCTTAAGTTTTTTTTTTTTTCGCAAAAAATTTATGACAAATAAACCTAACATATATTTATATATAATTTAAGCTATGAGCAATATGTGGAACGCAAGACAGAACGTGACGCTAAATATAAAGTGAAAAAAGTACGAGAAGAATATGAAGGTTGGAATGATATTCAAAATTCCGAAAGTGGCGATAATGATTCTGCTACTGTAGAACTTGAGAATTCACAATACGACGGTTATTCATCATCATCAAGTGATAATGTTATTATGGAATCCGAGAATTCACAAAACGATAATTATTCATCATTATCATCAAACGAAAGTGATTCTGAATCAGAAAACATTTCAACTAATGAACTGAAAAGAGAGCCAATCAAGAAAAAGAAAAAACTATTGACAAGTTTAAGCAATGATGATAGTAAAATTAAAACGCCTAGCGGTTTAAGCAAAAGAGCTGTACTATTCTTTGATAATCCATTATTTAAAGATGCACTAGAAGACTGTGATAACGAAATTAATCAAAATATCGATCAATCCAATGAAAAAGACTACATAGACAATAAGGAACCTAGTGAGCAATCAAATAAAAATGATGAATATCCTGATTCAAATTCGAAAGATGGAATGAATATAGACGTTTCTAATGTAAAAGATGATCTAATTAAGTCTAATAGCTATTCTTTAAAGCGTAAGGCTGATGATGTTAGTAATTCTGGTGTATCAGATGGTTACAATTAGGGGCCTGCAAATTACCTATTTTTGTGGCCCGGCCCGGCCCGCACTTAGTTTTAAAATTTTTTTGTCGGCCCGGCCCGCATATATATAAATTTTTCTTCAGGCTGGCTTAACCCAGCCTAGCGCGCAAAATATATTATAAATTTTGAAAATTTTTAGGCCCGCATTGGCCCGCAGTTGTAAAATTTTGCTTCAGGCCCGGCCGGGCTGCGGGACCCAATGCAGGCCTCTAGTTACAATTATATTCATAGTTTGTCTAAGACCACAACAATTCTTTATTGTAGATTGGAGACGACACAGATGATGATATAGAAATAGTTCCTAGAAACAAAGATAGCGATGAAGAAATGTGGGGTGTCGATGAAGTTGACGAAGATGAGAAAAAAATGAGGAGAGCAAAAGGTATGTGATTTATATTAATTTGTATTCAAAGAATATTTTCTAATATTTACTTTTTATTACGTTAGAAATTGGTTTAATCACCGCAGAAGCAGTGACTTTAGCGCAACAACTGGTAAATCGAAAGAAAACAAAATATGATCTTATAGATGAAGGTTTCCGCCGAAATACATATAACGATAGGGATGGACTACCTGTATGGTTTTTAGATGACGAAAAACAACATAACAAATTGAACTTACCAGTAACTAAAGAAGCTGTACAAGTAATCAGAGAGCGGATGAAAGCATTAAATGCCCGGCCAATCAAAAAGATCGCCGAAGCTAAAGCTCGGAAAAAGATAAGGGTATTGTATTGAATTGATTATTGCACGGTGTCTGACGTAACAATCCCGTGCCAATAAGTAAATGAAAAAAGCACGGGTTTTCACATAAGACCCGTACAATAAATAATTTTATTGAATTGATATAATTAATATTATTTAACAACCATCACTATTGAATATATTAGGCTATGAGAAAACTTACTAAGCTCCAAAAGAAAACTGATACAATAATTGAAACTTCTGATATGACTGAAAAAGAAAAAGCTAATACTATTTCAAAAATGCTAAGTAAGACACAGAATAAGGTCAAAAGAGAAGTGAAAGTGATTGTTGCTAAAGGCCCTATTAAAGGTAAAAAAGGTCGCCCAAAAGGTGTTAAAGGAAGATATAAGGTAATTTAGCTACTGTATAATAATCTTGTGCTTAATTCAGGTTATGATTATAATTATTTAATTTTAATATTAGATGGTAGATGCACGAATGAAAAAGGAAGCTCGGGCAATGAAAAGAACTAATCAGAAAGTTAATTCAAAAAAAAGACAGAAAAGATGATTATTAATATAGATTTAGTTATAATTATATTTTTATTTAGTATAATTTATATTTTATTAATTAAAAAAAATTTAAATTGCATTGACACATTTAGTGTATCTATTGTTAGAGTTAGTAGAAGCTGTGTTTAAAAATTTAAAAAAAGATGATATTCAGTGTGTATCACTTAAAAACTTTACAAACTTTAAAAGCTAATAAATTTTGCTATATAAATAATTTAGTAAAAAGAGAGTTATCAATTTGTTGCTATACCAATAAACATAATTTTAAACTGTATAATTTTAAAAACAGTATTTTTATTGTTACAAATTGCAAAAATTAAAATTTATAAATTTGAAAATAGAATATTTGTAAAATATTATATACATATTTTGAAAATATATTAAAAATTAATGATTATTAGTTATTAGCAGAGCTTATTTCTTATATTGCTTACCTATTTTATAGAATATTCAATATTTGTTAGGCTATTCCAAATTGATTTTCTGTTTTAACATAACATAATATAGCTTGTAAAAGTGAAAAAAAACACAAATTAAAAAAAATACAATAATTCTATTGGCTGTAAAAAATGAAAAATGAACAAAAGCTATATTGCAATTTGATTAGTTAATCTGATGAGTTTTTTATTTAAAATTTCAAAAAAATAAAAGGAGGTTATGTTAAACAAAGAATCAAATTGGTCTGGTCTTCTTTTTCTAGCTCTAAGCTAATTTTTAGCATAATTACTAGCTATAAATAATTTGTTAATTCTAGCTTTTAGTTTAATCTATATACTAGCAAATAACAAATTAGCAAGTATAAAACAATATTATTAGTATATAATAACTTTAAGCAATTCTTTCGAATTCTCTTAGTTTATATTGAAAGTTATATCGTTAATGGTCTCAATTCCTTGAACACCTTCAGAAAATGTTGAGTTCTGAATATTAATCAAGGGTTTTCTGATCATTTTATTTGAACTATGTTTTACCTTATTTCCTAATTCTTGGCACGTTCGTGGTCAAAACGATCTCCCAGACAAAGAATAGAGGCATTAATAATCTTTATGCGTTTCTGATTTTCTATCATCCCATCAGATCGACTTAAAGACTTGAATATCAGGCAAACTTAAAGATTACCTGTGCCCGATGGAATCAGTGTCGGGTCGACTTAAAGACTTGAACATCAGACAAACTTAAAGATTGTCTGTGTTCAAACTAGAGATGGGTATCATGCGTGCGCATAATACCTGAAACATGCGTATGAATGCGCATTTTTGCCCATCAAGAATTTATATATGTTTGGTTAGGCTGCGTAATTTAGGCCAGAGAGCATAATGCCGGGCGGAATTAGAGGATAGGAATTTCAAAAATTACGAAAATTTCCGAAAAGAAAATGAATGAACCTCAAAGACGAGCAAGGTCGCGACCGAAATTCGAGAAACATAACGATTTTTTCCGAAATGAAACAGAAAAAAGAGAATTTATATCATGCGGTATCATGCGCATTAATGCGCATGTTATTATAAAATGCGCATTTTTCCCATCACTAGTTCAAACACTGGGGCTTAAAGACTTGAATAACAAAGAAATTTGAAGATTCTCTGCACGCTCTTTTTATAAAAATATTTTTACTTGCCTTATATTTATCATAGAGAAGCTGTGCTTTTTCTTTCTCTTTCCTTGCTCGAAATTAATACTCTCTAGGCTTTTTAGATATAAACCTATCTTCAATTGGTACGACTTCTCTGTGCATTCATCCAAGAACTCTATGATATTCCATTTTGTAGACAATAGAAAACATCGTGTTGCGAGAAATTTTAAATTTTGGGGTGAGAAATTGGGGGTCGTCTAAAGCGCGTGAATTAACCAATCAAATCACGAATTTTTGTCTGATAATAATTCGACGAAGGAAGGTAATTTTACCTATATATCTGCTAACCCTAACCCTAAATAATTTTATCAATCTACTACTCCGCTTTAGACGTCCCCCGAAATTGATTACACATATACCATACCTAAATTTCTATAAGAGGTCACAGCATAAGCCCTTAAAGCCAAGATCTCTCGTGAACGGAAAAATAGAAAGAAAGGCTTGAAGGGCTTGATATCAGGTAAATCGTGATTTAAAAAATTGATGATCATCATTTTGATAATTTCGGTAATTTGCAATATTATACTATCTGACTGCAATAATGGTATTACTGAAATTACCAAAATACTGATTATCAATTTGACTAACGCTAAATATTTATTTTCAGGGTTTATCTAATTATCGTTCTGATTGGTCCATATCAAAAATGCAACTCTATAGATTTTTAACCATGCTCGCTCTTATAGGCAATAAAATAAGCATAAATCTATTAAAAGTCGATTCTGGTGTTTATACGAAATTAATTGTCAAAACCTATAAGATCAAATAACCATTTGTAGTAATTTTTTAAAATTTTATATCATTCTCATTAGAATTTTCTAAACTTGAATTAGTAATAACCTTTTATTTCTATCTTTTAAAGATTGAAATTATCAGTATCACGCAAATAAAATACAATAAAAGAAAATAAAAAATAAAAACAACCATAACGAAATGAAAAAAAAGACTAAATTTGTCATAACTTGTATAAGCTTTCGAACATCAGAATTGATTATAACATAAAATTATACAATAAGTCCATTCCTTTCTAAAAAGTATTTCTCTTTATCAGCAACTACCAGCAGATTTGGTATTCAATATCAATCCAACAATTAATCCATAAAGACCCAATACTTCAGCGAAAATAAGAATTAAAATCTGTTTTCAAACAAAAAAAAAAAAAAAAAAGATCAATCATCAGTTGCTAAATCACGTGTAATACTTAAAAATTCTTTCACTCACCATCCCAACATATAATCGTGGTTGCTGTGCAGTGGCACGTACACCTGCATCTCCTACGACTCCAATAGCGAATCCGGCGGCGAGCCCCGCGAGACCGACACTTAAGCCTGCACCGAGTTGAATAAATCCGCTATTCGCATTGTATATATATATATGTATATGAATAATAATTAATTAATTATCAAAATTCACAGATATTGTCATAGAATTCACAATAACTTACGTGTATAGTGGCATTTTTTGTTTGACTTAAAATTTTGTAATATCAAAGTTATTGAAAATAAAATATTAGTTAGTTATCGTTAACTTCATTTCTCCAAAAAAAGAATGACAAAATTACGATATATTTAATTATAGAAATCTCGAAATTCTATAAATAACATCGCAATTTTTTTTTTTTTTTATTGAATTTTAATATATTAATGAATAATGAATACTTACGACCATCAGAAATTAAAACTGCCACAACCAACCCATAAATACCGATAATACCCGCCATAACAATTGGCACTATGGATTTCATAATCAAATCAGGACGTAATACACCCATCGCCGATAAACCAACGCCTGACTTTGCAGTGCCATATGCTGCCCCAAAACCTTTTAAATTTCAAAGAAATGATAAAATATTAGTTATATTTCTCAAACGAATAGAAAATTATAATCAAATATAGATTTTTGTGTGTTTAAATTAGACCGCTTATGCCTTTTAAATCATGGTTCGTTGTAATGTTAATAAACGATTAAAGATTCTCGATAAAGTACTTACATGCAAACACGATAGCTGAAGTACAACCCAAAGCACCAAAGAGGGGAGAATATACCGGACTATTTTATTGCAAATGATGACTGTAAGTACGAAAGAAATAATTCCAAGCTACATATTTTTTTTTCTGTCTTAAGTTCAAGTTACCAGTAGTCAACTGAATCTGCCATTTCTTTTTTTTTTTTTTTTTTTTTAAAAAAAAAATAGGTGTTACTTTAAGTTCGTTATTAAGTTTAATTAGCCAAAGATGTAATTATCATTTATCACCTGATTATGTTACACGTATAATATTTAATGTCACGACCTGTTTGGCTAGTTGGTTATTTAGTAGTTTTCTTTATCAGTTATCGTTATATTAAAAATGATTATCAGGTATATCAATCTTACTTTTGCTCCTAATTTAGAATTAGATTCTAAATAAAATCTAAAAAGTACTTGAGTTGTTAAAAGAATTCAATAAATTTTTATTTGCTGAACAATTTAAAATAGTAATTATTCAAGTTTTAACTAATGAATTATAACTTGGTGCTTTAAAGTAAACTTATTTAATACACAAATGCATTTGAGCAGTATAGTTTTCTTTTGTATTTATAAAATAAAAATAATAAATTTTCATCAAAAAAATTTTTTGAAAAATTTTATAAATTTAAAGAAAAATATACAATTTTATATTCTGAACAAGTTTATTTAAAGTACAAAATATTAGTAAAATTTTGAGATACGTATACTGAATTTTATTAATATAACTTAATAATAATACATTTTTATTGGTTAATAATATATGAAAAATCCTTCCAGTAGGAAGGAATTCTCACTAGAACCACTGGAGCTTCGGAAATACCTGGACGTCCAGATTTCCAATAATACAGTAATATATGTTATCATAATAATAAATCATATTATTTAATAAATTATATCATACAAATAAGTTTGGTTTATCATAATTAGTTACCCAACGTTATCGTGATGAAATTTGTATTAATAAATAAGTATATACCGGTATTCACAATCCCAAAAGCCTCGTACACCCCACCATACATAACATTAAGTAACAAAATAAATATATAACGATAAATCATTAAAAAATATATGTTCAAAATTTATCAATATATTAACCATCTCAATTTCCAATTAACCGATAAAAAAAATTTATAAAGTTTTTGGCTACCGACTTTAATCCTATCTATATATCCTTCTTTTATTACCCTTCTAAAATGGAAAATACAAATCATTATATAATGCTTAATTTTTAAACGACCCATCAAATAAATAAATAATAGGCGAAGAAAAATTGCATAGAAATTCCCTCGTTCTTATGAATGATAGTCGGTTAGGCAATAATTATTTTGTCACCTCATGAATTGCCTCAGCTAAATATTTAACATTTTTTGTATTAATACCAGCAATTGAAATACGACCATCTTTAGTTAAGTATACATGGTAATTATTGGTAAGACGTTCAACCTTTATAAAACATTGTAAATATTGAAATCGTTATCACATATTACATTAACAATTATTAATTAAAGACAAATCGATATCTAATTATTTTCAATGAATATTCCTTACCTGTTCTGGTTTTAACCCAGTAAAACAAAACATTCCAATTTGATCAGTGATATGATCCCAAGGAAGTTTAGATTCAAAATCTACGACCAAATGATGCTTGAGTTTATTTCGCATTAACATTATGCGATCTGCCATCATTTTCACTTCACCGAGCCTACAAAATTATTATAATTAGTTTATTACCAAATATTGTTAAGTATTAGAAGTCATGACAAATATCACATAATTATTATCGAAATAGAAATTGTAAAAAATCTTACGATTTAATACGTTTTTTTATATTCTAAATATTATGTAATATCTGTCATAGCCTTTTTAGTGTGTCATAAATAATCGTAAAATATATATTGAAATGCTTGCCATTCTTGATATAATTCGGGATCGCTAAGTACATAACTTGCAATTCGTGCACCATTTATTGGAGGATTCGAATACATCGGCCTAATAACTAATTTCAATTGTGAATCAACAGCAGCCTTTTCTTTTAAACTCTCAGTGATCAACGAGAATGCACCAATACGTTCACCATACAGTCCCATGTTCTTGGCAAATGATTGTGATAAAGCTATTCGATGACCATCAGCGACAAACTTGCGGATAGCGTACGCATCACGATTTATATCACCTGACGCGAATCCTTGGTAGGCCATGTCAAAAAATGGAAAGTGACCACGTTCCTAATACAATTATAGTTTAGCAAGAATTATCTCGAATTATTTTGCTTAAAAAAAAAAAAAGGCTTACTTTTATAATCGTTGAAATTTGATCCCATTGCTGTGGCGTAGGATCAACACCAGTAGGATTATGCGCACAAGCGTGTAACAGGAAGATTGAATTCTTGGGCGCATTCTAGATATATAAATTTATACGCGTAATTAATATTAAGATATATATAATGTGCTCAAATAAAATTCTAAATTACCTTGATATCATCCACAAAACCTTCGAAATCTAAGCCATTTGTCGATTTATCAAAATATCTATATTGGCCAATTTCAAATCCAGAATCCCTAAATACTGCACCATGATTACCCCATGTCGGAGTTGGAAAATATATCTTTTTTTGATAAGGATAGAATCGATTTAAGAATACGCCGCCGATCCGGAGGGCTCCAGTACCCGAAATCGATTGAGTTATCGATATCTAAAAGTCATAAAAGTAAAATACCATAATTATGATAGAACTATAATAAAAAAATTCTTAAATATTTATAGATAAATATTTTCTCTTACCAGCCCTTCTTGCAATGGCTCAGAATCTTTACCATATGCTAAAAGAGCGGCTTCTTTAGTAAAAGAGGAAAGACCAGTGATAGGCAGATATTCTTTATCAAGTTGATCTTGGGTAACTTTTTTCTCCGCCTATAATTAATTTTAAATATCAAGAATAACCAAATTTGAATTTTATATTATATTTATGTATACAATTCCTTAATCACATACTTTTCTAACGGCATTCAAAACATACGGTTTTCCATTATCATCCCTGTATGCACCAACACCTAAATTCATTTTTTTTGGATGAACGTCTTTTTTGTAGGCATCAGTGATACCAAGGATGGCATCCGGTGGACCTTTAATAGGATTTAATTCAAATAATAGGTGAATTAGCATCATTCATTTATTCGATAAAAAAGAAACTCATTGAGAAATTATTCAATTTGATAGATAAAATACCTTGAGGAATATGTGCCCAGCTAGTAATAAAAGCACGAGTTGAAATAGTGAACACTGAAGAAGGTTTCTTATCACGAATCAGTCGTGCGCAGCATGAAAAACGAGAAGATAGCATTTTTCGTCGAATTTCTTTTTTAACAAAATGAAAAAAAAATATACTTATTTAAATGCGATAATGTAATATTTATTTGTAAACAAGATTTAAATCTTAAATCAAGTTGTTATATTTGGTTAATCTGATAAAGGTTTAAATAATTGTTTGGTCACGAGAAATAGGACATTCAAATGATTCAAATGGGAATAAAAGAATTAGATTATCAGAGAGTACAACATGAATTTTTTTTTTAATTTCCTTAAACTAATTAAATTTTTTTTAGGCCATACAATACGTAAATGAAATTTTTAAGTCCGATTACAGGATTAGGCCATATAAAATTATATATCACGGAATGGTAATCCGTGACGCGGAAAAAAGTCGGAATCATAAAAAAGGTAATGTTTGAAAATATGTCTTGTCGAGAAAATGGGCTGTAGGTGAAATAGTCTGTTGGGAGATGTGGTAGAACCAACTTTCGGGGAATCATACCGTAACCTTAGATATGTTTCAAACTAATTTTACTTAATATAGCTAATAAATAGTTAAAGCCAACTTTTTAACTGAATTAAAAACTTGTAATAGATAAATGATTAAAACAATTTTTTTTTTTTTTTATTATTAAATACGATATAATGATGTTGATGCTTATCCATGAGAGACAAATGAATTTGCCTACCTCTGCTAACCCGCAGAGTGCCTACTCGGGTTCAAGCACTAAACCATATCGATATACTTACGTTCCTAGTATGGAGAATTCTATTGGTTAAATATATAAAAAAAAATAATTTTACAAACACCACTTCACTGACGCGGGCGGGATATGAAAACCAATTGTATAAATTTTCGTGGCCTTATTAAACATAAAAATTTTTTTTGATGTTTCCTAATATACTGTGTAAGTTTTAAACATTAATACTTAGTGTTAAAATAATTTTTCTAGCGTCATAATTGAGAATACAGTCAGTTACACGATATTGGCTTTGTATAATTTTTTATATCGATATAATTATTTAATCAAATTTATTATTATTACTTTTTTGATAATAAAATTTTTTTAACTAAAATAATTTAAAATTTTATTCGTTTACTTAAAAGACAAAAATAGATTGTCTTAGTAAAAAAAAAGTTTTATATAGAAAAACTAAAAATTTTACATTTATTATATAGTAAACTTATTTTTTTATTAAGATAATCTATGTTTTCTAATATACTATATAAGTTTTAAACATTAATACTTAGTGTTAAAATAATTTTTTTAGTGTTATAATTAGAGTTGCAAACATTTAGAAAGTCAAAGTTAGTTATATATATATATATTTTTTTTTTTTTTTTTTTTTTTTTATGCTTAAGTGATCTTGCTTATCATTTATTAAGAGAAAACATGTAAATAATGTTATATAAAATTATAAACTAAACTAATTTAGCTATGCATTTGCCTCTACTTGCAATTCAGGACTTACTCAGCTACTATAAGTTGCTCAAGTACAATCTACTGCAATAGCAAAATTTTTCTTTCAAAAAAAAGGTTTGTTTAAGCAAAGTCACTAAACTACTACTAAAACTAATACTATTTTGAATACCTGCATCCTCATCAACTAATACCTATTCAATTCCTATTTTGCCAAAGTCTAAGCTATCTGACTCTCTGTTTACCAATAAACTATCTGTATAGATGTTTATTTCCTTCTTCCTCTTAATTTTCCTTACAATATCTATAAGCTCTATCTAGATACTTCTTTCCTCTATTACTCTTTGTATAATTGCTTCTTCTAAGTTTGCTACTTTAACTTGTATACTATCTTGTATCCTAATACATTCTATTATATCACCAAAGAAGTATCTTAAAAATGATGAAAGTAAGACTTTTATTTCTGCTAAATTTTTTTTTTCTTTCATGATTTTACTTAACAGCTGATGTTGTTTGTTTATATTTTCTGTAATAACATATTCTATGTTATTTTTACAACCTAAGCTACATCTTTTATACTGAGATAGTCTTGTTTGCAGGTTATCGCTACTCTAATCTACTTTTTAATATACTAGTATAAGTTTTTCTTTTGTCTTCTTTAATATTTTTCCTAATATAATCATATTGCTTTTATTTATTATAATCTATTCTTTTTTTCTTTTGTCTATGCTTATACTATGCTTTTCTACTTTTAGTGTAGTCTGATTTATTTCTATTGTTTAAAAAGTATTTAGAACTTCTCTTGATAAGCTGTCTTCTAAAATCTTTACTTCTAGTTCTTTGAACCAGTTTGGCTTCTAACCTCTTATTTTATCTTCTTTTAAAAATTTAATCTGTTGCTATTAGAGTATAAACTTGCTATTTTCTTTCAACAATTGGTTTACTATGAATAAGTTTAAACTTTTGCTTTCTATAAACTCATTTAATAGTTTGTCTTCAAGTAGCTCACTTATTTCTAAGCCTTCTATTTCTAGGTTGTTTGTATCTCTAAGTGTCTTTTGAAATCTGAAACCAGTTTTGTTACATTACTGACTATATTATATAATAAATTATTTTTTATTCTATTTACTTTGAACTTGTATCTTTCATCAAGCAAGCTGAATTTCAACTTGTATTTCAGTTAAGCATCTTTTAGTCTAAGCTGCATTGTAATACCTATCTCTCATCTTGATTTAGGTATAATATTAGTTCAGTAACATAATGTGCTATTTGGTTTTGTCAGATAGATCTCATCCTCAGTATACCTAAATAATTACAAATACTGTTAGCAGCTGATTTTGCAAGTTCGATTTTGTTTTTAATTAGCAACTAAATTGGTTTCTGAATTTGGTTATATTTAATTCTTGAGAGAAAGGAGGTTTGCAATTTGTATTTAATACTAGGAAGCAAAATGCTATTGTTCAAATATATTAGTTGACTAGCTGATACTTTTTTGAATCTGATTGCTTTGCATATCTTCGCTACTTCTTTTATAATAATTTTAATATTGCATTCACTACTTCCTTTTTCTAGAATCCAAACTTCTAAATATTTAATAGCTTCTGCATCTCTTTTTGCATACACAAGATCATTGTTCTTGCCAACTCTTATTGCAAAATCAGAGTTACTACTGCTTCTAGTTTGCTTATGATTTAATACAAAAAGTTCAGATTTCTTCTCATTAATTTCAATATTATTTAAAACATAAAATTTATTTGATATTCTAATAATTTCTAGAAGCTCCCTTTTTGACTTTACAATCCAAGTTGTATCATTTGCATATGTAAGTACACCTTGTCTCCAACTGTGTTTTTGAATTTTGTTATAGTTAAGATTTACTGGCCATTCTATACTTATTTCATAACCAAACTTTTTTTTGTTTTGAATTATGCAAAGTAATAGATCATAAAAAATATGCCAAAGCAAAGGAGATACTACTTCATCCTAATCAAGACTATCCTCTGCTGAAAACTCTTATATTAATCTATAGCTAGTTATAACTTTTATTTCTCTCGCATAAAAAAGGCTTAGCAAGAATTTAGTTGTACTAGCTAGGATTTTAATTCTTTTTAATACTTTTTCGAGTATAATGAGACTAACAGAGTCGAATGCTTTCTTTATATCTTAGAAGAGTATCTATATTTCCTTATTCTTTTCTCTGGCTTCTTTGATGAGATTGTTCATAATATGAATTAGGCTACTTGTACTATAGCTTATTAAGCCTGCAAAATTTGACTTTTTTAGTATACTAAACTTAGTTAGTACCTTGTTAAGTCTCTTATTTACTACTTGTATTACTAATTTATAAAATGCTTCAAGTAGTACAATTGGTTTAATATTTGAGAGGTTGTAGTTCTAATCTTCTCCTTTAGGAATAGGGAATAGTTGACTAATTTTCCATTTCATTAGTATATTCCCTTCTTTAATGTACTTGTTCGCTAATACTAAAAAGATTCTATAATCTATACTACTTGCTTTCTTTATTAGTAAGTAGCTGAATTCAGAGAAGTCTGATGCTAACTTGGACTTGACATCTTTAAGTATTTCTTGTTACTCTTGTAATAAAATTAACTCATTTAAAAACTCATATATATCTTTATTGATTTCTTCTAAAGGTTCATATTCTTTATTCCATCTGTCAGTTGTATTGCTTAAATTTACTTTTTGTTTACAGAACTGCTTAATAAAGTATGCTCTGACTTTATCTTGAATCTCTTTTTCTTCTGTTAGCAAATAGATATCTGGTCCATTTTCTGTTATAACTTTGTTAAGTTTGATTTTATTTGAAGATCTTTCTAGAAGACTACTTAATATGTATTTAAGTTCATCTTGTATCGTAGCATATCTGTTATCTACTGCTTTACTAATACTATTATGATCTTCTTTTTTCCTTTTGTACTATGCTTTCATATATATAATTTTCTATCA